GGAGAACCGAACGAAGTTGCAGGAAAAATGTTCATGTCTCCTAAAAGCTCAAAGAAAGAGTTGATAGAAAAGAGCTCTTGAGAGCCAAAAATCAAAGAACTGAGTATAATTATGCGCCAACTGTCTCTATCCCTTCGAATGATTTCTTTTTTGCCAAGAAATTGCCTCATGATGTTAGATTCATGAATAGGATTTTAAAGGGTATTTAAATTCTTTTTCTTGGCTAAAGGGTGTGAATCTTTTGGGTATCCAAACTTTTCAATTTTTTGGAAAGGGGCTATGTGTAATGCCCTCAGAATAATACATAAAACCCATCACTTTAGACATGCATTGATATAAAAGAAACCAACCATTTCTATTCATCAGAGTAATCCTTACAACTGTATTACATGTTAACAACAAAAACAAATGCCCTATGGGCTTACAGCTTTCCAAGTCAACACCTGGTTACACAAAAGAAGAGTACTAACTCTATACAAAATAAGCCCTTGGCTTGATATATATGTGATACAAACAAAATAAACAAAAAAAGAGTCTTCAATTCTCATCATCATCCAAGCTATGTCCTTGGAGGTGGCGTACCACCTGTACCTGAAAATAATGTCCCACAAAGGGTGAGCCAACGCCCAGTAGAGATATGCTAAACACAGTATGAGCAATGACTAAGACATTAGCAATTGATAAATGTTCAATTTCCATAAACCAATTCATAACCTATTTCCATTTCATGACCACTATGTTCATGTTTCATTTCAATTTCCATTTCTTCTCAATTTCACAATTTACATCAACGGCTCAGAACCTGGCCAACCACTTATATGAGACAGTAACTCATATTAAACATTTTCCATTTTTACAATAGATAAACATACTAGTTGTATCAACATCCCAACAGATAAGCATACAAGCTGTATCCATATTTCAACAGATATGCATATCAGCTATATCAACACTTCCAAAGATAAGCATATGAGCTGTATCAACACATTATCTGACAAGCATATGAGCTGTATCAATGGAGTCCATCCCCTATCTCCTCCCAAACAACATCCGGTTTAGAGGTCCATCCCCTATCTTCCCCTAAACCGTGGAGTATATCCCCTATCTCCTCCCACACCCACAACGTATATACACAAAGGTCATATACACAATCAATCAATACGTAATGTTAATGTATTCTACCAACCGTCATACTCTATGACATATCCAATTGATTAGTTTTAGTTTGCCCAATCATCATGCATTGTCTACAACAATCAAAACTACCCTCCACGGGTAGCCCAAGCAATTATTTCTAAACAGATAATAAAAGCTCCAACAAATAAAATATCAATGTTTTCAAAAGTGAGCGATTAATAAATCTAACTCCATTATTCAACCATTTAATGAATCAATTTCATTATTTCCAACTCGATTCCATAAAGTCACAATTTTCCCAAAATTAGGGTTTTCCACCCGACTTCCACATATTGACCCAATGGTCCAAATATCAATAACCAACAACGATATCATTATTTTGAACCCACAATACACATTTTAGACTCAAAATAACAAATCCTCTTTTAACATTTTGAAACCCTAAGTCCCAAAATTTACCCAACTTCAACACTTTATCAAAACAACCAAAAGTCTATGTCAAAGACCATAAGAGTGAGTAGGAATCCCTACCTCAAATTCGGAGCTCAAGGAAAGAAGGTGAAGAAACTCGACGTGCTCCAAAACTCAATATACTCGGATCAAAACGTAGCCCTCGACGATCAACCCAACTCTTACAAAGGCCGAAGGGAAGGGAAACACTCTAACTAGATCAAACCCTAGAGAGAAGGGAGTTTCTAGAGAGAGGAACTCTTAAAATGTCTTTTTAGAAAGTAAGAGAGAGAGAGAGAATGTAAAAAGTGATTTTAAAATGCCCAGCTGCCAACTGATATACGACATTCTCGCTTGAGCGGAGAACACAACGCTCGAGCGTCAAGAACAAAAAAACTAGGTCCGCTCGAGCGCAATAAGGCCCGCTCGAGCGCCAAGACACAAGAATAAAGTACATCCGCTCGAGCGTGAAAACCAGTCCACTCGAGCGTGAAAACCAGTCCGCTCGAGCGTAGATTTCCCCCTCCCAGAACTTACACCAAAAAGTACAATCCGCTTGAGCGCTAGAGTACCCGCTCGAGCGCTACTGCTCGAGCGCAAAGAAACCCGCTCGAGCATGAAAAACATGCCTGCAGAAGTTCTGCAGAGCACCAAAATACTGGGAGCGTGCAATCTCCGCTCGAGCGCAATAAGACCCGCTCGAGCGGACCTCCTAAAAACTGGGCAACAAAGAATTGAAACCAAAGCCTATCCAACCTGTAACAACTCTGCCCAATACATCCTAAAACCCAAACAAATGGAATTAAAGGATGACAACAAGATAGATACAACTACCAACTCCACGGAACTGAGTCCGGAATACAACAGAACAGTAAAGGGACAACCGGGATCGCTATACTATGGATGCTTGTTAATGGTGTTTTAATGACCAGCCTTAAAGGCTGGAGGCTCTTCTTCTCTTCCCTATACATGTATAAATTGAGACCTTCTTGTCAAGTCTTAATACAGAAATTTTTTTTGCTTCCATTTTACAAGTCAGTTTGACAGAAAGTTCTTACTGTGAGAGAGTGCTGCCACTGTTTTTGTTCGCTAAGCTAGACAGGAAATGCTTCTGCCGTAGCTGGTTTTTGACCGTCGTATCTTGGGAGATAGACGCCGGGATTCCTCAAGCACTCGACCCGTGAGGCGGCGAAATCTGTTTTAAGGAAACTGCTACCGTGCAGGCTTCGGTTTGGTTTCTTTACCATTTTATTGTTTTGTGTATTTCTGTTGAAATTTAGTTGTAATTATCAGCATATGTTCTTGGTATATAATTTTGTTTTCTTCATAAATCTATTTATTTAATTTCACAATTTGAACAACAGTTACATCGGCATCGGTGGTGTCGGCTATAATACTTGAGTTTGTACTATAATTTTATCATGGTCTGCAACTCTACCACCTTGCAGACCAAATCCTTTACCTTTGCATCTCAACGTGAACATTGGTCCTTCTAGATTTGGATATCATTCTTGTTATAGTACTTTTCTCGGGGCCGATCTTGCATCCTTCCATAGCCCCTCCTTGGGTCCCCCTCTGTTCTAGGATTCCGGCCGTTGGCTGCATTATTTGCTCTGAGATTTTCTTCTTGGTTTTTCCCACCATCATGTTCTTCTTCTGCATCTAGGTTCACTTGTTCTTCATTCTCACTATACAAGTTGTCTTCGACCCGCAATTCTTACCCGTTGTGCATGACGTTGGCCATCTATTTCGACTAAATTCCCACAGATGGCATCAAATTATGAGTGTTGAATTTTACCTCATAACTAAATCAGATCTCAACACCTACACATAAGAAGACAACAACATTGGTGGCTCGTCTACCTGAGGGCACTCCGATGATCAAGTCAATCATCTATCTCTCAAAGATATTGGCTCAAAATAACATATTTGTTCAAAACATACCTTAGACCCACGAGAGTACCTTCTTTATATAGTGATTAGTGCCCTACTTCCCCTAGAAGACTTACTTTATGAGACTATTCTTTACAAGAATATCACTTATTCAAAACTCCTCATATTCATATTAGGATCAACTCTCTCAAGAGTCCAACCTTACCTAAACCGGTAGTCTGATATCAACTAAGACTCTTGTCCTTTATCTGAATATCTCGGAATCCGATATAATCGCATTGTATCTCGGCAACCGGGATTACCCACATGGCACATCGGCTAATAACCTAGGCCACGCAGACAATCCTAAAATTATGTCCCACTCTTATACTATGACTTGTTTTGTCAATTGCTAGCAATTGTTTAAAGTAGTTAAAAAGTTAAAAAATCATCATAAACAAATCAAAAATTTTCTTTATTTTTTTTTTTTATGTATTTTTATATATAAAAAAAAGCTAATTAAAATAATTAATTGTCAAAGCAACTCCATATAAAAACCTTAGTACTCGAACTTCTCTCTTAACTACTCAACCTAAATTGATCAAGCTTCGTTAAATTTTGGACAACTACAATCTACGTAAGTCCTAAATTTTCTATGAAATTTATATCGAGTCATATTACCACTACTGAGAATACTTGTTCAAATTCACGACTTAATAGAACTCTTTAAAAATTCATGAGAAAAATAGGACTTGATATTTTTTCATAAAAACAAAATAATAATATTAATAATAATTCTATTGAGTCAAATTAGCCGATTCAAACTTTGTGTTAATAAAACTCAATAAAAATTCGTAAGAAAAATAAACCTTATTTGATATTTTCCTAAAAGCAATCAATAGCACTTCAATTATGTTCATTGAGGGCTCCAATCCTTAGCCGTGTGAGACCATACTATGTCAAATTCAGCCAGATAAGTACCAGCAAAGACAAAAGTTGATTCCAAATTTGAAAGAAAGCTTTTTCTAGAAGCTTACACTTAGGACTGCAAATAAATCGGACTGTTTATGAACAAGCTCGGCTCGACTTAGCTCGTTAAGGGCTCGTTTCAGCTTGACTCGTCTTGTAGTAAACAAGCCAAACTTGAACTCAAATAACCTCGGCTCGTTTATCTTTTTTTAAATTATATAATAAATAAATTATTTAATATATAAATATACATATAAATAATAGTAAAAATACACTATTTATATATTAAATAGTATTAATAATATTTTTATTTAAATAATATTAAAAAAAATCTTAACGAGTCGAGCCGAGCTCGAGCTCAATAAACGAGCTTGAGCTCGAGCTCGAGCTCAGCAACGTTCTACTCGGCTTGGCTCGTTTGCAACCCTACTTACACTTTAAACAAGCGTTACACATTTGTCATGAATTGCATAATAGAACACAACACTTGTGAAGCAAACAAGTAGCAAAAAGTAATCTAAAAAACCCAAGCACTCACCCAAAGCCATAACAACAAATGCAGCACCAACCCATTTCAAGCATGAAAGAAAGCTTTTAGTAGAAGCTTACACTTTAAACAAGTGTTACACATTTGTCATCAATTGCATAATAGAACACAACAACACTAGTGAAGCAAACAAGTAGCAAAAAGTAATCTAAAAAACCCAAGCACTCACCCAAAGCCATAACAACAAAAGCAGCACCAACCCATTTCAAGCATGCCAACAATCTCCTGATTCTCTCTGTCTCCTGTCTCAATTCACTTTCAATTATTAGATTACATAAAAATTTCAAAATATAATCTAATAATTAAAAGTGTAATAAGACGGAAGACAAAGAAAGAGATAAATTTATTGGCACAGAATTTTGTGACTTTCAAGCACTTGGCGGAGGTGGCGGGTTCTGCATTTCAACCACCTTCTTCCATGATTCTCGGCTTGATATCTCATCCCACCACCTACCCACATTCTTCCTTGAAGTGATGAGCTCTCCCCTATCGGTCGCATTCACCAAGTACTGTGTGTTGGGTAGGTGAGAGAGGTCAGCCAAAGTGAACTCATCACCCGCCAAGTAACGACTCTCGCCAAGCCTCTTTTCGTACACATCAAGCACTTTCAAGAGCTTTTCTTCATTCTGCTTGATCAGCCCGTCATCCTGCTTGATCTTCATTCGCGGGGCAAATGCTAGCTGAAACACGAGTGCAGAGCTTGGAGGGCTAAAGCTCTGACCTTCAGCCTCCAACCATTGGTCGATTGAAGCTTTTTCTAACAGGTTCATCCCATACAGACCCTTGTTTCCCTGGTTGGGGTACTTCTCCGATATGTACCGACATATGGCTCTGGATTCTGGAGTAATCAAACACATAGAACACACTGTTTAACCCCTCTATCCTGTCCGGTCCAGTTTGGATCCACAAGTTTTATTTTGATTATTTGATCCATTTATCTTAGAAAATTGTGTAGACTATTCATAAGAAAATCAAATTAATTCAATAAGTACTCAAATGATTTCCAACATCGGAAGGAAAGGAGATTCTAATCCCTTAAAATTTTTGAAAAAAACCTAATTTTATGTGAGTGTAATCTTGTAAAATAATTGTACTCCGTGTAATGGTTATCATTGGATAGGGTAATATTGCTAATCACCTGTGCAAAAACACTCACTCCAGCAGTGTAGTATATATATCATGTGCTAAAATAGAAATATGCTATTTTATACCAGTTGATTTTTTTAATAAAAATTACATTTGCCATTATAATTGGAGTTTTATTTATTATGCATTCATTAATCTAAAAACAAAGAAATTAAAATCTTTGCCTATCTAATTGAAATCCTCGCCTATACTCACTAATTTATTAACAACTATTGAAATTTTCACCAACATTATTTTTCACATTCATAACGATATCAATTCACAAAACCCTAATGACTCATACAACAACCCCTAACTCTATCCCAATCCTCTCCCTCTCATTTTGATGCTTCTATTTTCCTAGACTCCGAACAAGATCCAATTGAAATTAGTGTTGATTATTCAAGATCTAAAAGGCCTAAAGGAAGAAAGATCGAAAAAAATTTGCATAGGAAGAGCAAGGTAGTAGATGATTAGAGCTTTTGTCTTTGTGATTTGATGGATAATTTTAACAAGCTAATATGTGATACTCGAGAGGAAGGCCAGAATAGAAGAAAGAAAAGTGTGATGATATGATTATGACTATGGACTTACAAATATGATAAGCTTAACTAAAAGTAAATAGTTAGTGAATGGTGGTTGATAACTAGGTAAGTAGTGAAATAGAACAACAACAAAAAAAAAAACACTAAATTGTTAGACTAAACCCACATAACCAAACTGCACAAGAATCTGGAGACAAATTGTTCCCTGAAAATATACAATGTGATTGAAACTAAGAGCAATTTCAATAATAAAAAAATAAGGGAATTGAGGGTAATTACCAAAGAGGGATATGCTCTCATCTTGAAATGCTGGTACTTGTCCAAATGGCTGTTTCATGTTCAAGGTTAGAGTGACATTATGATTGTGCTTGGATCATGGATTTCAGTAGGGTTTTGGAAAGTGAAAGTGAAAATGTGAGGACAACCTAGATGAAATATAAGCTACCTTTTTTCTCCATTTCCCTTTTTGTTTCCAAATCCATTATCCAAACACAACGTACATAAATGACTCTAACAAATAAATAAGGGCAAATTATATATGTTATCCTTATAATTTGTCTTTTATCTCAATTTGATCTATGTAGTTCAATTGTTTCAATTTTGTCTTTCAATTTTAATTTTTTCTTTAAATTGTGTTAATTTAGTTTAATCGATAACATCCGTTAAGAAATTGAATATAAATTAATGGCAAAGCATCAAAAGAAATGCATCATGTCAAATTAGAGGCCGACCTTTCAACAACATTAAAGAGAGAGAATGAACTATTTTTTTTTTCATTAATTTGAATCTAATTTTTAATTGTTCATTATCAAATGGACTAAATTAAAAATTCAAGAGTAAAATTGATCCAAATAAAATTAGGAGGACCAAATTGACATTTGAAACAAACTACATATATATATATATATATGGGCAAAGGAAAATATTTGAGACCTATAATAAACCCCTACAATTTCACTCCCAATGATGCTGTATGATAAGTGTCAACTTTTGATTTGTCACATACTTAATTATGTGGCACTCACTTCCTTGCCACGTCATTGGGTGCATTTGGGGGTCTCAAATATCAGTAGCCCTTGCATTTTGTTTTTTATATCCCGTTGGGAAATTGACTATTTTAGTTAGTTATTTTAGATTTTGACTTTTTTAATAGGCTCAAATAATTGTGTTTGGAATAAGAGTCAAATTTGTTTATCCTTCGATGTGATATTTATAACAAAAAAATAAAATAATTGTGAATTTAATGTTACATTTTATCATATTGATTATTTTAACCTGTTTTATTTTTAAGTGTTATTTTAGCCTCAAAAGTCAAAAAAAAAATACTCTTTTTTTTTTCCCAAATTTGTTCCTCTAATTTCAATTAAATCGATTTTAACTCTAAATTTTAAATTATGTCAATTTGACCCAGAGTCAAACAAGGTTATAGTTTTACTTAAAAAACATAACACATCACTTATGCTCCAAAATTGTAGTAAATCGAGATAAAATTGATGATCAAAACATAGCCAATCAAAATTATAGGGCCAAAATTTTATGATTATGTAATGAATACCTGGAGCTTGAGGAAATCAGCTTTTTTGTGTTCGCCTTTGGCCATGTTGATGGAGATGAGCTGAAATTGGACGTCTTTCTCGAGAAGACAAGATAGCACCCTCGACACTGCTGTCGACAATGGTGGTCCGTACACTTTCACTCCTGTCGCCATTAGTGAAGGGAGCTCCGATTTGGTGTTTTGATTGTTTTGGGGTTTTTTTTTGCTTTCTTCTCTCGATGTCTTGTTCGTTTTTTAACCACACACACCAACTGCGCTTTATCCTTTGCTTGCGAGAGCTAAAAGGGCCGAGAAAAAAAAAGGATTTTAATTACACCTATTTAATTACATTATTAAAGTGAATTAATGTCACAGTAGATAGATATTAAAAGAAATAAAAATAAATATATATTTAATAAGAAATAGATGATAATATAATTTTTTTACTACTACCGTTGGAGATGCTCTTAGTCCATCATGACAACTAAAAAAGTATTAATTTTCTTTACTTGGACAAATGAAGGAAAAAAGACAGAAAAATGAAAAATAGCTTGTAGCTCGAAACTCTCCAGGTTTAAATGGCTCGAAATCAAAATATTGTCGTTTGATTTCGATTTTTTTTTCCTCTTTTATCTGTGAAACGCAACAGAGGGAAGGAGGGAGAAAGAGAGAGAAGAGAGAAGAAAGAGAGAGAGGGAGAAAGGGCCGATCTTTCTCTTCCACCCCGTCGTCGTCGCCTCTTTCTCTTCCACTCCATCGCCACTGTGTGTGTGTGTGGGGCTTCCAGATCTGTATGTGTGTGTGGGAGGGAGGAGGGGGTTTGATTTGTGGATGGCTTTTGATTTTCCAGATGATTTGTGTGTGTGTGTTTGTTGATGATGCTTTTGATTTTCCAGATGATATGTATGTGTGTGTTGATGATGATGATGCAGATCTGTATATGATGATTTGTTGGTTATTGATGATGATGATGCTGTCTTTGTGTTGATGATGATGATGCTGGCCTTCTTTCTTCTTCTTTTTCTTCGGCTTTCTTTTTTCTCTTCGGGCTTCTTTCTTCTTCTCTTCTCTACTCTGAGTCAGAAAGGATGAAAAAAAAAAAAAAAATCCAAAACGATGTCATTTTGGTATTTCGGACCACTCGAGCCACGGCAAATTCGAGCTACCAAACGGGATTGATGGTGTTATTATGTAAAAAATGTGAAGCTATTTATATTTTTTTCAAAACTCAAATGAGGTGAGTGTAGTATGCATTTTTAATTATCTTTTAGAATTAAAAAAGTTTATTTATTTGGCTTGTGTGTGTGTGTGTGTGTGTTTAATGAAGAAAAGTTTAATGAGTTTTTTTCAAAATTTTATTTTCTTGTGAAAAATTATCATATTATTTTTTATAGTTTTGTGAAATTCTTATTAACATAACTAAATAGACACGTTAAAATTTCTAAAAAAATCATGACAAATTTGTTTAAAATGTAATGACCCCATTTAAAGTAGGAGAAATTACTATTTAGTGGTAATTTTATAAAATTATTACATATTTATGATTTTAATGATTACTATTTATAAAGTTTATCAATTATTTGTAATTATTGTTTCAAACACCCACTAAACTGAAATTTCCCCTTTAAAGTATAGGGTCCTATTAATTTTTTATTTTATACTTTATATTTTAAAATGTGTTTAGTTCACGCACCATTCTAACTTTGCCTATCTCCACTTGTGGTACGTGATGGTATATATATCACTTGTAACAATTAGTAGGGTATCTAATTTCCTATGTCCTTTCAAAGGGTTGATAAAAAATGTCCCTTAAAAGGTTTGATAAAAAAAAAAAAAAAATCCCTTCAAAGGTTTGTAACAATTAGTAGAGTATCTAAAACCCTCCAAGCTGTCAGTAACTTAGCCATTGAAGTGCTTATTTGGCAAACACCCCTATGGAACCCTTTGGTAGTTCGATTCTTATGCATTATATTTGTCAAGACCTCAGTCCACTACCTGACCACCGTTGTTTTACTAATAAAACTTCTCACTATGGTCGGTGTCATCTTAGGTATTAAATTGGTCTTGAGTCCTTGAGTAAGGGAATAAAATAGACAACTCGTTTTACTAATAAAGAATCCAATTATGGTATATATTACTATAACATATGAAAGTCTTAGAGATCAAATGTATTGGGTTCTAAAAGTAAAAATTTTGTTACAAAAGACATTTAGAGACCAATTTCCATTTTCATGAGGATGGGTCGCTAAAAGGTCATATTAAAAAGTCAAAAATAAGACTTTTAGTGACAAAATTTTAAAAATGTCACTAATAAATAGACTATTAGGGACAAATAATTTGGTCTCAAAATAATTTATTTTTCGAGACAAAAAATTTGGTCCCAAAAGGATAATAATTCATCACTAATGTCCAATTTTCGTTACTAAAAATATAATAACGACACTTTTCGTAACAAAACTATTTGGTCTCTAAAAAATAGTTTTATCCCTAAATTTTAATCTCTAAAACCTTAATTTTTTTATAATATATGTTGGTTTCATATTAGGTATCCAACCGGTCTTGAGCTCTGAAGGTAATAAAATACTCAACTCGATCGCATGTACATTTGAGTTTCCCAACTTATGAGAGCCTTAACAATCCCATTTTAGATACACAATGGAAATGAAAATAAAATGGCAAAATATCTAGTCACAAATATCATTCCTGTTTAGCTAAGCTGTTATATTGGCTAATGTTGTGCGTGGATCTTGGAAAAACATTCACTTTATCTCCATAAATCCAAGATCTAAAGAAAAAAAGAGAATCAAAATTTCACTATGGACATTCCCCTACACCAACGCTGCCTAGGACCTTAGGAAACTAGACATTGTCACTTTGTATCATCAACCAAACAGTGGTGGCTCCAGGATTTTTATCCAATGGGGTCATTCTATTTTTTTTTTCTTTCTAGTCATGCAAATTGTTTTCCTTTTCAAAATATTTAAATGGTAATTTGTATAATTAAAGCAATAGTTCATGATATCCATGAAAATATCATCAACGAGAAGAAAAAAAAAATCGTGACTAATCCATAAATTCACTGCAACATTGAAAAAAGTTTTTGAAAATTGAAATATTGCTCTCACATTTAAAAGCAAAATTGCAATGAAGAAGAGCATTAAAGAGCTTTGATGCTTTTTATTGAAGTTTGTGAGAAGAATTTGTTTTATATGATACGTTTTATCTTACAATTATTTAAAGGGCAAATCTATTTCACTCACTTGTGGTATTACCTTGGAGCAGTTTACCCCGCCCTCCACATTTAAAAATAGTAAAAAATCTCACCTGTGCGCAGATGAGATTTAGGGCTTGTTTGGTTTATTTTTTGGAGAGTTGTTTTTAAAAAAAAAAAATTTAGGGAGAGAGTTTAGAAATTTTTTTAGTTTGTTTGGTTGTATATTTTGAAAGTAGTTTTGGAGTTTGGGAGTTTGGGATGATTTGATATTTTGTTGTAATTGAGTAGATGTGTGTGAGAGAAAAAGTGATTGAAAATGAGAGATGAGAGAGAAAAAGTGATTGATTGATGTGTAAGAGAGGGAAAGTGATTTTGAAATTTTTTTGAGAAAAATCACAAACCAAACAAAATTTTGAAAAAAAATTTCAAAAACAACTCTCCCAAAAACAAACCAAACAAGCCCTTAGTCTCTAATGGTCTTTCCACATTTGGCAACCAAATTAATTGGTCTCCACTTACGTGAGAAAACTTCAACTTTTTTGGTTCCTAAAAGTCTCTAGATGTTAGGACTATGGGACACTAGAAATCAATTCCACACAATAACACAAGAATATTTACGTGGTTCGGCAATTGCCTACGTCCACGGAGAGATATCCACTATAGAATTATTCCGGAGGGAGATTACAGAACTCACACCTCACAACTCTCTATAGAACTCTCGCTCACAAATTATACTCTCCTCTGTGTATTTTCAGCTCAGCGTGTCACTCCCATATATCTTTATACAACCCCTCCTCACTCATCTCAATTTATAACCGAGAGAAGAGGAGTAGGTGAAGTGACAGCCATGAGTGGGCTTGGTTGTGCCACCCTCACCATCTACCTTTGGTGAGTTGGTATTACCCCACCAGCTTCCTTTACCACATGGTGCCACCCATACCATGTGGATGGTGGGCTCCTTACCATGTGGGTAGTGGATGGAGCTAACAATTCTCCCCCTCCACGCCCACATGGACAACTGACTTCTCACTTGAAGTCCATCCCGATCAGATGCTTGCAAACTTCCAGTTTGTCTCTGGTGACACCCTTGGTCATCATGTCAGAAGGATTCTTGTCTGTGTAAATCTTCACTAGCTTCATCAGCTGCTTTTCCATCACTTCTCGTATCCAATGATATCGGACATCAATGTGTTTTGTACGTGAATGATACATGGAATTCTTGCTCAAATCAATTGCACTTTGACTATCACAATGTACCTTGTATTCTTCTTGCTGTAGACCCAATTCTTGGAGAAACCGCTTTAACCACAACATTTCCTTTCCAGCATCTGCGGCAACAATGTACTCTGCCTCTGTTGTAGATAAAGCAACACACTTTTATAGTTTGGACTGCCATGAAATACCTCCCCCTGCAAAGGTGAACAGAAATCCTGATGTAGACTTTCTACCATCAAGATCACCTGCCATATCGACATCTGTAAAACCCTCCAAAATTGGTTCAGCTCCCCCGAAACATAAACACATCTTTGAAGTTCCCTTCAAGTACCTAAGAATCCATTTAACCGCCTCCCAATGCTCATTTCCTGGATTGGCGAGGAATCTGCTCACAACGCCAACTGCGTGAGCTATATCTGGCCGGGAACACACCATTGCATACATCAAGCTTCCTACTGCGGAAGAATAAGGGATTGTCTCTATTTCTTTCCTTGCAAAGCTGGTCGTGGGACATGAACGCTTTGACATATTGAAATGGTTGGCCAGTGGTGTGCTGACTGGCTTGGCATCTTTCATGTTGAACCTTTCAATTACCCGTTCAACATGTTTCTCCTGTGATAGCCATATCTTATTGGCTTTCCTGTCATGAACAATCTTCATGCCCAAAATTTGTTGTGCTGGGCCTAAATTCTTCATGTCAAAATACTGCGACAAGTCCTTTTTCAACTTGTTGATCATAGTAGTATCCTGTCCGATGATCAGCATATCATCGACATACAACAGTAAGATAATGAAGTTTCCATCCGAAAACCTTCGGAAATATACAGACTGGTCTACCACCGTTCTTGTGTACTCGTGATCCACCATAAA